TACTGCAGTCTTTTTAAAAAAAAATAATACTAAACTCCTAGCATATCTAAAGCTGTTTCCACACATGTGCACAAGTAATGGTGCAGAACAAGTTTATTTTCTTAATTGTATAGTTCTACTGTTGTACTGTTTCAGGTGTCAGAACATGCCACTAACCTTTTCTATTTTAGTTCAATGGACACATACTAATTAGAAGATTGATTTCCAGGAAGTGAACATTAATGAATTTGTCTGTTTTGTCCAAAGGCAAGACAAGGTGAAGCAGCAAGGCTAGAATACCTAAGCATCATTATCTGGAACGAATTTTCATAAACTATAATATTTATATCTGTAAATGGAGAAGTTCAAAGTAACAATGAGAAGTATGTTTGTTGGTGGCTAGGTTTAGGATTATAGAAACTTTCTATATATTAGTAGTGGCCTTGTAGTTTAATATGAAGTTGACAAGAGAGGAAGGATAGATAAATCAGGTTATATGTCTAGAACTAAAGATAAGTATAGTAAAAATGAAACAATGAAACAAGTTTTGTGCAACAGATAACAAATTTATAAAGAATATTAAAGGAAATTCTAACAATCCAAGTTCAAATCTCACCATGGTCAATTTGTCAGGAAAGTGATTTCTTGATGTTATCAGTCAAGAGGAGGTGATCTCAGCATGTTGCACCTTTGGAAAGTGTCTGAAAACCATAGCATAGGTTGACCTAAGCTTTGTGAGTGAAATTAGGTGGATGGTACCTTTGGTAGCCGTTGATGGTTGTACTAACATGAAGGTTTGAGTCCTCTGGCCTTGTTCAGACTGTTGATTATGCTAGATAACACATTTCTCTTTCAGAAACTGTAACTATGGTCTGCTCAGCATATTTGCACTATAAAACACAAGTGGGTTCTGTGGGTGTTGAACAAACACAAATATGCCTGAGCAGGAGTTTGCGACAGGGATTAGTTAGCCACCCTAAGAGATGGGTATCCACGGATACGAATAGCCAGTTATCCATTAAACAAAATTGCAGACTGTAGGAAATTGCTTTGAAGTGTTGGATGTATGCCAAATATTTGTAGAGGAAAAAAAGTAGAACAGAAAGTCTTTATAAAATGTTGAGTGGGTATTATAGAAGAAAAAGCAAAGAGTTCTTTGAATTCTAATGTGAAAAATGTGGCAATGTTTAACCTTCGTGCATCCACAAAAAACAGTGTAACAAAAAGATGGTTATTCCATGACACTGTTATTATTGTGTACGTTTTGGTCTCCCTTGACAATGTGTATTACTTTAAAAAGCAATGTTTGAATTTTAATAAAACCCAAACATATGAAAGTGGATTTATACATTTTCTTTAATCTTGAGAATTGATAACAAATATATTAAATTTACAAAATTATAAAAATATGTGAACTAACAATAATTGACATATTTATTGTTTACCATTTTATAAAAAAATAAATATGAAAAGAATTTTTTTATTCATAAATTTATAAAAATGTCTGAACAAGAAAATTTAAATAAATATAATGAGTAACTGTATTTTGATTAGCTCTAAATTGTTAGTTGAAATATTTTTTCTCTATGTTTTATGTGAGTTGAGCCAGGAGTCTATTTTTAGACTTGAGAAAAATGTCTGCTTTAGAGACTGATCAAATTTAGGTACAATATAATATATATATTAAAAAGGCAAAATGATGTTTACTTTTATTCATATTCCTAATGTTTGCTTTTTTTAACATCAATGTGAATAAATGTTAATTAATTTTCCAGTATTTTTGGGAGTTACTTTCATTCAGTTTCAAAATTTTAAAAATTGATAGACCACATTTTCTTAACATGTGGTAAATCTTTGCAGAAAATACTATAGGCTTTCAAGACTCATTGTACATTACTAACATTTGGGATTCTGGTTGTTAATTAAATGATCAAAAAGAAATTCTTAACAAGAAAATTAAAATATTCTGATGCAAATTAACTATAAAAAACAATAATAGATATTGCAACAGGAATGAAAGTACATTCTTAGTAAATTGTTAAGATATCAAAACATTATCCTGAATTCTCAGGTGCTATGATTTTCTATGGTTAAGAATATACCAGTCCCTCATTATTTATTCAAGACTATACACAGTCACAGATAATATTTCATTACAGACATACTATTAGGGAATACTATTTTTTGATGTGACACCAAATCAAATTTTATTCTTTTAAGTGAATTTAAAATTAAATGAATGTTTGGAAGAATGAGTCTTAGGCAAGATTTAAACTTGTATCACTTATCCTTCGAAGGATTCAATACTAGCTTACTTACAAATAAGGTTAACCATTTCTGTGATAAATTATAGTCTAAGCTGATATCTCTAATTCTTGAACCAAACAACATAGAGGAATCAAATAATATAATTGTGTCTTCTTTAGCCAAATCATGTGAGACCATTCCAAGAACATTTAAACAGAAAAAGATCATCTAGTGGATGACAATCATTATTTGAAAAGATTGATATAAGATAAAATCAAACATAAGAGAAAAAATAGAAAGAAAAATACCAAACAATTAACAAAGAAAATTTTAACAAATATCTTCAGAAAACTGGAAACCAAATTAATGGTATCAGACAGCATAGACCATGTGTTGAAAATAACAATAATATCATACAACCAAAATCAAAACAGAAGAAGTGTCTTGGTCTTAAAATCACTTTGAGTCATATTTCAAACATGATCACACTAAGATGAATATGCCCATGGAAATAGAACAGTGTTGATCTGATCATTACAAAGTCTGTCTCCAAATATAAACAATAACAAACCCTGTGATGAGGAGATCAAAAATGCTTTTAAAAAAGCTAATGAATAAACGTCACTTGATACTGAGGCTGAATGTTTGAAAATAGAATACTCTCTCCCTGAATTTAAAAATAAGTTTCTCAGTTTTGAAGTAAGTCTGGTATCAGAAGTGCATACCCCAAAAGTGGAGTGCATCATGTATTAATGCACAATGGAAATAAAACAGACGTATCTTGGATCCTTTTTAGTGAAATTACTAATGAACATTGTATTAACTGAGCTCTCATCACTCTATGAAAGCCAACTCCTCACAAATAAATTTAGTTTTCATTCTGGTAAGGAGTGTAATGATGGCACATATGTCATCAAATGAATCCAGGAAACTGAATGCCTCTCCAATAGAAAACTATATAGCTATGTTGACTATATGGCAGCACACAACTGCATCAATAGAGACTTCTTTTTCTCATCCATTAGAAAATGCCTTCCAAGCTCTGACTGAATGTCTAGATCTAACAAGGGAATTATAAAACTGGAGTCTCAAATACACATGCAGATTATCTTTTTGCAGCCTGCAAGTAACCATTTTTGTGACTAAAGGTTTTCTCAAAATTTAGTAAGTTTAATAAATTTTTCCCCTTGCTCCTTCCTTATTTCTGCAGCAGAATATTAAGCAAAACCTACCCACCAAGTACCAATAGACAGTTAATTCATTTTAAGATCAGCAAGGTCTGTTCTAGTTCCTCTCCAAGAAAGAGAAGAAAATTCAGTTTTGATGCTGAAGTAGGTGTCCTGCATTAACTGATGCCTTGCATTTTGAAAATCAATGATTCTTTTTAAAAATTACACATAATATAGGAATTTTTTAAAAGATGTACTTAATGAACAGCTAAAATACATGTAAAATCTTGCATGCCTACCCCTCTACCTCCCTCTCTCTTTTGCATTCACGATTCCTATCCTCAAAAATACCAAACTGATTTAATTTAGCTTTGTGGGTCTGTGGAACGCTAGTTGGGAACATGTTGCTAAGTGGGTCTGTGAATCCCATGGTTGGGAACCTGTCCACAGGATATGCATGTTTCCTGGTTAGGAAGTTGATGCCCTCTCTATGGGTAACAGGTCACAGGCCTGCTTTTGGCCAGCTGTATCCTCTCTGTCAGCACATAATGTCCCTTTTGTGTCATAATGTTATACATCTGGCAAAGAGCCCAACATGGAAATATTTCAAACCCCATCAGCAGTATGACAACAAGGAAATGAGGGTCCTAATCTATTATATCTCTTTGCAAACTATGCTTTGTGCATATTTGAACACAGATGTAATGAGACGGTTACTGATTATTTAAGCATTTTATACTGCATTCCAAACGAATCTACTGATAGAAACAAGTGTTCCTGCTGTTCTCTCCCAAGGCCAATGTACTGATGATGAGGGCAGGTGGTTGGTTCATGACTAAAATGTAGGTATTCTTTGTTGGGATAAAATTGATTTCGAACAAAAAAAATCAGCGCCCTGTATCAAGTGCCCTAAGAAATTTCCAAAATGGAAACAATGATCTGGAATTGGAATGAAAACAATGATGGCACCTGAATCCATCGTAAAAATTTAGGATGTGGAATTAGTAAATACTAAACTTTTTAAATACCTCAATGTATGGATCAGTTATAGTAAATTTAGTATAGGAGATTGAACATAAAATAGGCTGTTTTAGGGGTAGTTTTACCCAAAACTAGAAGTTTCTACAAAACCAAATCATTAGCATGAAACTCAAGTCATATGTAACTATTAAAAACAACTCTAGTTTTTGTCATTTCTAATAATTAAAAGATGCAATTATTAAATAAGTAGCAAAAATGAATGCAATTTTGTGTATGTGAATATTAAATTAATTAATCAACCATACAGAATATTCAAGCAGGGCAATCAAATTTATGGTGCAGCTGTCAGTGCTGCAACTAAATGTACCAGTAGAATAAGCTGTGAACACCTTATATTTGCTTCAATTCTGGTTGGAAAAGCTCAAATAAAAGATTAAAGAAAAGACGATCACACTCTAAAAAGCCAAATCCATCCACAACAATAGGTTTTTATTATAAAACAGCAACAGGAGAAATAAAGAAAAATATTGTAAAAGAATGAGAGGCTCAAAATAGTTTGATTTGGGCCATTGACAGCTGATGTTGGATGACATTGTCCAGATGGCTGCGTCTTTTGAAATGGATTCAAATCAGACTTTGAGATTCTGAGAAGAAGAATAATGGTAAGAACAAAGGGTACAAAACATGAAAGGAAAGGGAAAAAAATGAAAAAGATTGAACAAAAATATATATAAAACCATATTGGTTCAGCAAGAGAACATTTTTGAAAGGAAAGAATGGAGGAAAAAGAAGAGAGAAAAAAAAAACCCAAGAGAATGATGAAGAAAGAAAGTAATGAAAATATGAATGAAAGAGGAAGTCAGAGAGAAAGTAGATAGAAGAAAGAAGGTGGTAAAAAACAGAAGTAAAATCTAAACAAGAGAAAAATGAAGGAAAAAAAGAAAGATGACAGTTGCTAGAACAAAAGGAAAATGAAGAAAAAAACAGAAGAAAAAAGTTAAACAAATAAGCAAAAGAAAATATGAAAGATGAAAATAAATGCTGAATATAATTTATGGGTTCAGTATTGGCTAGATATGAAAATTTCATGGGGAGAAGAGGATGTTTTTCTTTTTCATGAAGTCAACAAAGTTGAAAGAAAGGAAGACAACTCATGGTATTCAGTGAGTCTTCATTATGATGACTGAAGAATTAAAAAGGAGTAGACAGGAAATTATTATTATTGTTGTTAATAATAATAACAATAATAGTCAGCAGCATTTATAATAGTTGTGCAGGACCAATGACTATTAATCAGAAATTATCCATCATGCATAATAAAAAATGGTGCACACACAATATGCAGACTAGGTGAACAACATATTGATATCATTGACCTGTTAGTGCTTGGTGATCCATTTATGACACCGAAGGAATACAAAGACCAAAAATGGAAAGATTGACCAATTTATTCATTGCAAGATATGTCAATATTACAATGTGCTACATGCTGAAAAATAATATGAACATCACCCTGGACCAGTGATAGAAAGCCATCAAGTCATTATTCTTGAGCTCTTTACCATTCATATTGACAGATATATAAATGTTAACAGACTAGACATAGTGATTAAAGACAATAAACAAAAATATACTTTCTCAAAGATATAGCAGCGTTATCAGATAAAAACACATGGGATAAATAATATGAAAAAATAAACAGATATAAGTATGTTGAAATTGAAATAATGTGGAACAATAAAATTATTTTTCTACCTATAATAACTGGAGTACTGGGTACAATATTGTTGTGGTAGGATCCACCTAATTTGCATAGTGGAGTACCGACCATATAAATATGGTTAGTACCGGGAAGAGAGGGAGGAATCAAGAGATTCAACCAGAGACTCTGCCCGACTGCAACTCAGTCAACACATTCTCCAGGAACGGTCTTACCAGGAATATACAAAAGACTATATGTAAATATTGTGTACACTTTCTTGTTTCAATACATTTTGTTCTAAGTACATTTTGTGTTGCATTATTATTCCATGCATTAGTCAAGTTTCAACAAATATAAAAGAACAATAACAAAATTCCAGCAACCTCAACATACAAGAGATTTTTTTAAAAATTGCACAATATTGAACTGCCCAGAATAATATTATTAATATAAATAAAATATAAAGATTGTACATGTTAAGTATCACTTAACATCAGAAATTTTATATTTACTACTTTGCCATAACTTACATCTTTAGTTAGGGATTGTACTGAATTTTTAAATAAAGAAAATAATCTGATCTTAATTTATGGAATGAGGATTTATCATTATTTACAGTATTTATATTTGGACTATTGTTCTCATTGTTTTTGTCACAACATTTAAGCTGCTGTGGCATATGAGCCAATAGCCTAGTGGATTAACATTGTGAGTTCAATCCCTGGGCCGGAGAGTGTGTTCTTGAACTCAATGGAAACAGGTGAGCAATAACTGAATAGTTCTAAAAATAAGAACTGGACAAATATATCCCTAGACAGTGGGACAAAAACAATCTACCCCCATAAATTAAATAAAGGGTTCAGTTCAGAATTCTCTCTAGATTACTCAAATTGGTATACACCTGATGAAGGCCATTATCTTGACTGCGAGTATTTTTGCTCATTATTATCATCCTTCAACCTCCTTATGGTTGGTTGGAACTCCATTGACAATCCCTTTTTTACACTGTTTGATCCTTCATTACTGTTCCCAGGTCCCCAATGTCCAACCCTAAAAGGTATTTTTAATTTGAACCCACTTGGAAAGTTATGGGCTGCTTTTATTAAAATATTGCCCAGATTTAGCTGTGATGAATGCAGTAGTTATACCCTAATCAGATTGGGTGTCATGATAGGCATATTGGGCTTTGTTTATTTGTATTTCAATGACACTTTCTTTCATGTGCTACTCTTTTACTCAATAATAAAAATATCAAAAAATTATATTTTTTTTTTTTCTGATTGATTTGCCTAATCACAAACAAATATTATTTTCCATCATTCCCAAAGCAATTAAGATCAAGATTCAAGGCAACAATCTTGTTACCAAGTTCTATATTTCACCGGTTGTTGTTTGGAGTTGATGTAAGAAATCTGGATTTTGAATGTTAATTTGCATAGCAAAAAATTAGTCCAAAGCAATCTCATCTCATTTTCTCCCAGTTTGATCTCATTCAATACTGAGTTTAGTTTAATAAATATCAAGATTCAATGTTTATATTATTTACATTCTGACTGATATCTTCATCTTTGTCATTATTAAAATAACAATACTATACAATATAATAATACAGTCTTATAATGAAGTGTTCTGTTTGAAATTCTCCTGAAGGTTACTTAGACTGACAGACAACTAAAGAAGACAGGAGAATATAACAGCCAAAACATTGAGTACATTAGTCCAAATGTAAATAATTATAATTCCTTATCCCAGAAATGTAAATAATTATAATTCCTTATCCCAGAAATTCAAACAGAAATTATAAAGATTAAAGTATCTTGTCTTTGATAAAAAAAATATAAAATTTTACATTTTTAGTTGCTTTTTTATATTTCATTTTAGTATATTTTGCAGAAATTACTGAATATCAAGTGCATTTTTTACTAAGACTTTCCTTATAAAATAGCTGTGTTTGACACATCAGAATTGTTATTTAAGTCTGGAATTCAAATTTTTATTTATTAATTTCTGGTTTATGTTTGTCTATTCCTCTTTAGTAGTGATGAGATTGCCCCAATTTGTTTTTTTTAACTGAAGCTGGAATTTCTCTTCATCATTTTCTTATTTTAAAACACATCTGGAACAATATCAGTAATGATATCTCATCAGGTTATAAAAAGAATTGAATTTTAAAATTTTAAAATTTTAAAATTTTAAAATTCAAGTAAAAGACAGATTATGCTAAATCAATATCATGCTTTTTATACAAAATATAATTTAATTTTCTTTTAACATTTTAATTTGATATTTAATTGGCAAAAGCATACAAGTGTGTTCATTCTGTGATGCAAATGCATGTAGACATATATACAATATACACATTCTTCGAAAATAGATTACAACTAAAACATAAGTCTCTAATAATTTTAATTATTTGAATAAGAGATATAAAATTAAATTGAAAGCCTCATAAAAATTAAAGCTGGATATAAAATTATACATAATACTTGAATTTGAATTTGGTGCCTGAAATACCTTTTAGCTACTTTTAAACAAAACCTAAATTCTTTAAAAGTCTCTCATATTAATTTAGATTCAATAAAATATGATAATTTAATAAAAGATATATAAACAATTCAGAATAAGACATTACTTTATATATCTGTTTGGTTCATTGTTTAGTAAAACCCATGATGCATTGCCTGGAGTTGTGCAGAAACAAATCTGTTCTATTTGTATTCTGTTTATTGGGATATAAGGCCAAATAATTTGCAAAATGCTCTTATTTACAGTAAATTGAAACAGTAACAACAAGCAAAAGAGTAAATCAGAACTGTGCTGGAATACTGAGATAATAGACTAAAATGTTAACTGATCAGGTTGTTTTCAAAGTAATTCATGAGGAATATATTGATTTGTCAGCTTTAAAGCTGTTATAATTAGAAAAGAATTTCGGAAAATGAAGGTTGAGGTCAGGAAGATTTGACTGTGTCAAGATTCAACACATCCACAAAGAAAAGAAAGGAAAGCTGATAAAGTGAAAATACAAAATTTTATATTTCATAATTGTTGAGATGTTTTACAAATAATTTCTTGACTCAAGTTTTTCTTTGGAAGGCAAAGTTTTTGTTTGACCCAAAATAGACAAGTCAACAGCAGATTTTTTTAATGATTTTTTATAACTCATCACAGACTGACTTCTTGATTCCAAGTCTCCTATTTATAGTAAACAGACTAAAATGTAGACACCAGGCACCTTGCTAAGATTTAACAGAAATATGTTAAATTAAATTCTATTTTAAAGTCTGTTATTTGAAGAGTATAACATTATTAATGACCATAAATACCTAAAAGCTGGCAATTTATAGATTAATTGTTTGATATAAGTTTAAATGTTGTGCAAATTTAATCTTTCTCTGTAAATTATAAGTTAATTAAAATTTTATTTTAAGTTGTTATTGACTTGTATTTCATTAATAATTTTCGTTAAAAGGACGATTTTATTTTGCCTGAAATTGATGAATTAATACAATATGTTCTAATAATATGTCCGCTATAATTTGAATCTGTATAATTTGTTCGTTTTATCAAATTTTTAATTTTATTTTAAAGGTTTTATTTTTCACAATAACTAAATATATATATATATAACTTAATTTACAGAAGAGGCAAATAACAGTTTCTTTTTTTTATCATTTCACCTCAAGTAAGGTGAGAATGTCACGAGCACACAGGGGGGGCAGGGCGGTTAGGGAGTGAAATGAGAGAAAAGACTGAGTATAGGGCGGATTGAGGAAAGGACAAAAGATGAACAAGAATCAAGAAGATAGAAGATGGTGATTGACATTGCATTTGAATTTTTTAAGATTGTAGTTATCAGGGAAGCAAGTAAATGGAAGGGTGTTCCACAGGCAAAAAGTGCGAAAAAAGAAACTGTTGGAGTAGTTGCATTTAACTATTTCAACAGTAATAGTGTGTTGTTAGAATAAATTTATTTTCTCATTCCTTCAGAAGGCAAATATAAAAAATATGAAAATCTCATACTGGAGTAAGTAATATTTAATATCGATATATGCAAAATAATTCTAATATTGAAAAGAATAAAAATAAACAATGGCATCCTGCTATGTTTTCAGTGATATGTAAACAGAAGATTGTGAACTGCATTGCAGTTGAAACTATTTTTTGATTGTTGATTTTAATACTAGGCAGACTGTGCCTCATTTGAAAAATTACCCTAACCAATTTCTCTCCCCATTTGTTTGCATTTGGTTTTATGCCTTAACTAAGGTAATCTAAGTAAATATTGTGATGAAGTCAATAATGGGCTTTTCTTTACTACTGTTTGTGGAAGATTTTGCTTAAGTCTACGGTTGTAGATAAAAGAGACCCCATAACAAACTATGTA